CTTGATCCGCTACGATCCACCGACTGTGCTGGTCAACGGTGTGTAGGGTCGTAGTCCGCAAAAGAGGATCGCAGTCCACCGACTGAGCGCGTCAGCGGTGTGTAGGGCTGTGATCCACCGTCGAGCTTTCGGCGGTCTGTACGGTTGGTTGCAATCAACCCCTTCATGCTGCGGTATGAGGCAGGGTGCTGCGGGGCCATGTTAGTGCTATACGCACTAACCCGCATGTTCGGGGCATGTGATTGGTCCCGTGGCGCCACCAAAGTGTGCTTATGTGATCTGAATGATGATGATTTGAATGATGTCTTGAATAACGAATGAATGCTGATCGAATGATGATGTGGATGATTTGAACTGTGACCTTAGGTACATGTTCTTTATGATGTTGTCTCTATATAACTGTTTATCATGATTGTCTGTGCTTACCCCTACTTGCTGAGTCTATCCCTGATTTTAAAGCTAGAGTTCCCTAAGTATATATCTTCCTGCTTCAAAATGGTTTTCGTATATATATATATATATATACCTATATTGTATTTCAACGCGTTGGAGTGGGTTACCGGCATCATTCGCTGAACATATATATTTGGCTTTCAGGCACAGATGAGTAGACACTGGAGCGCGCCAGAGATCCGGAGCGTAGATTAGTTAGTTTCCCTTTTAGTCTGCGTGCCATGATTATGTATTGACATTGCTTTGAGTTTTCCAGCTCAGATGTGGCATAGCACCCCGGACTCTTATGTTGATTTTGGGATTTAATGAGAATTCACCTTTATTATATAAGCTTAAAAAGTTTCAAAATTTCGGGGTGTTACAGTTGGTATCAGAACCTAAGTTTGACCCTAGGATGTGACTCTTAAGACCAGACTTTAGGACATTAGGCTTGAACTCTAGGTATTTAGGAACATAGGATTCAGGAATCTTAGGACGCGCGGTGAGATCGTGAGCCTACCTATCATCACATAACCTCCCCTCACTTTATCCCTCATTAATTTAAAGAATTTCCCCCTTCGCTTATCACATCAAGGTAAGGGTACAACACACTAACTCTTCATTCCACATACTTGCCCTCGAAATTTGTGATGTCCTTGCATGCTTTTACCTGCTTTGTTGCTTATCACTCTTTGATTATCATACTTGTTTATTTGCTTAAACATTTGTTCCTAATTGATTTTAGACCAAGTTAGGAACTGCATATTATTGCTTAACTATTTGATCAAACATGCGTTATTTGGATGTCTGTTGCTTGATAAAGTATTTTGGAACTTGCAATTAGTAATGTTATTCGGCTTATAAGAGCTCACTTGTCCTAATCATGATTGACCAATATAGTTAACTCACTAATAGCCCGATAAGTATTTACATGAGTTTGCATGAAATTTTGGGGAACATAGCTTTAATTAGGAAGGGGAAGAATGGGGTGTGTGATCCTTATGATATCTAGTTGAAGTCTCCCGTGTTTCTTGTTAGTGTCATAATAATGTGATCCCTTGACACTTCTTATGTGTTTAACATGTAAATAACAATCTAATGCTTGAACATGAAAGTCGAATTATCTTCCTAATTGATTTCTTTATAAGTTACATAGAAATTATAGGGACTAATTCTATTTCTAGAAAATCTAAAACCTCGAATACATTGCATATTAAGTTTTGACCCGAAAGTCAATCTGAGTGGGACTGGTAGAAAACCGAGGAACCTAAACCAAGTGGTCATCTAGAAATTATCCTTGGAAAAATATATTGCGTCCCTAAACCATCTTAAAACTATCCCTCTAGACTTTGGTCCATGTTGCATGATAGACCACAAGCTTCCCATACCTTGTTTAGAACCCTTTACCACTAAGATAAGGACCCCCCCCCCCCCCCCCCCTTAAAACAAACATTTATACATAAATAAGTATATCGCTACTATTCTAAATATATTCCCCTAAAAATCCTATATATATCTAAAGTATGTAGTAAACCCCAATTACATTCATATGCTACACTTACACCAAATTATTATTATTATTATTATTATTATTATTATTATTATTATTATTATTATTATTATTATTTTCATTATTGTTACACTCTAACCCTAATCGCCTGATCCTAAAAATGGTTGCGTCATATACGGTACGTCCCTATATGCTTTTATATATATATATATATAAACCTGTGAGCCTATAGAACATCCTCCCTGTGAAGGAATTAACTGAGTGTTTATTGATGTAAAACATAATCCATATATAGTACATTGAGGAGTGTAGATAGTAGGAAGTTACAACCAAATAACTAGTCTACAGGAGCACAAATAGAACAAGTAACAACTAAAGAGATTCTAGCCACATATTGGCTTAACACGCCCCCGCAAGATGGAAGATCCGTCGGAGACTCCAATCTTGGACCGAAGCTGAAGAAAGAGGCGACGACCTAGTGGCTTAGTGAGAAGATCGGCTAGTTGAGCTGAGGACGTGACGTGCCGCACAACTAGCGTACCATTTGCAACCAAATCCCGCACAAAGTAGTAATCCAAGGCGAGATGCTTCATGCGGGAATGAAACACGGGATTCTTGCAAACGTACGTGGCGCTCAAGTTGTCACAAAACAGTACCAGAGGCTCAACCAGCCCCAATTTTAACTCTTGCAACAAATTTTTGACCCAGAGGACCTCAGCTGCTGCATTTGCCAGGGCTCGATACTCCGCCTCCGTGGACGACCACGAGACAGACTTCTGCCGCGTAGATTTCCAAGAAATTAAATTATCGCCTAGGTACACCAGATATGCGGTAGTGGAACGACCCTCAGTGGACGACCCACCCCAATCTGAATCAGTGTATACCCGCAACGAAAGAGGCTGACCTGCACGTAGCAACAAACCATGACACGCGGTTCCTTTAAGATACCGCAGGAGGCGTTTGGCGGCTTGCCAGTGTAACTCCGAGGGTGCATGCATGAACTGCGAGATTCTGTTGACAGCAAACGCCACATCCGGACGTCTAATCACCAAGTACTGCATACGACCAAGAAAGCGACGAAATTGAGTTGCATCAGTCGCAACATCGGACGGTCGCAGCGGTACCAACTTCTCTGAAGTAGCCAGCGGTGTTGAAACATCCTTTACACCATCCATCCCGGCCAGCAGTCTGTAAGAAGCCTTTGGCCACAAGGCGTGCCTTGTACCGATCAACTGAGCCATCAGGTTTTCGCCTGACGCGGTAAACCCATTTACAACCCAATGGGAACCCCAACACCGCGAGGAACCAGGCACCATGTTTTGTTACGTTGGAGTGCGTCAAATTCCTCGTCCATAGATTTCCTCCACCGAGCATCCTTCAAGGCCTGAGCGATGGTAGAGGGCTCTAAAGTGGGAGGTAAGGGATGCGCTGTGGTGTGGTTGATAACATAGTCAGAATACCTGGGGTTAGGACGGCGTGGTCTAGTGGAGCGACGCAGACCATCCTGTGACTGAGAGGCATCAGACGACGACTGTTCGGGCTAACTGGGTGGTTGATCGGTCGTGGTAACAGTGGGTGACGAACGACGGCTGGTTTGGTCATTTTCTGAGACAGTGGGAGACGGTGTTGGAACAGGTGTTGGAACTGGACTCGGAACTGGCGTTGGAACAGGTTTTGGAATTGGTGTTGGAAATGGACTAGGAACTGGAGTTGGAACTGGTGTTGGAACTGGAGTTGGAACTGGTGTTGGCACTGGAGTTGGAACTGGTGTTGGAACTGGAGTTGGAACACCCACGGTCTGTACCTGTGTAGACAAAGGAGACGACTTGCACAAAATACGGCGTGATTCAGAATTATGAGAATCAGAAGGTAAACTGTTAGATGACTTTTGCAAATCGTTATAAGGAAATACATGAGACACAAATCTAACATGTCTAGATACATAAATACGATTAGAATTGTAGTCTAGACATTTATAACCGGATTGGGTGTTTGAGTAACCAAGGAAAATACACGGACGTGGCCTCGGTTGTAGTTTCTTGGTGTTATAGGGACGCAACCAGGGAAAGCACAGGAAACCAAAAGGTTGTAACTTATCATAGTTGGGTTTTTGTTTGAACAAAACTTGATAAGGAGATTGATTACCTAATACTGGAGTCGGAAGTCGATTGATGAGATAGACGACAGCTTGAAACGCGTGAGACCAGTACGAAGAAGGCAAAGAAGCAGCGTGAAGGAGTGACATTCCATTCACGACGACATGCTTGTGTCGTCGTTCAGCGATGCCATTGTGCTCAGGTGTATGTGGAGGAGTCAAAAAATGCGAAATGCCATGAGCATTGAGCATCAAAATTAATTTAATAAACTCCCCCCCATTGTCTGAATAAACTGACACAATAGACAGACCAAAGAATTTCTCCACTAACCTTTTTAACTGAGGAAAAATCAAAGAAACATCAGACTTTCGTTTTATAGGATATAACCAGACATACCTAGAGAAGTGATCGACAAATATAACATAATAAGAAAAGTCATCAATAGATTTTTTCGTCGGACCCCATACATCAGTGTAGAGCAGTTGTAGAGGCCTATTGCTAACAAGTGTGCTTTGGAAAAAAGGTAATTTATGACTTTTATATACATTGCATGATTGGCAGGAAGAATTATTTAACGCTGACATAGACATGGGAACGTTGTAGTGTTGCAACACACGATGCAACACCTTATTAGACGGATGGCCTAGACAATGGTGCCACTGGGAAACTCGAGACAGCTGCATGGAATTGGATGAAGGTTGACGCAGGAGAGGTGCATAATAGAAACCATTAATTTTCGCCCCCCGTAGTAACGACATCCCCGTTCGAAGATCCTTCACAAGAAAGTGGGAATCAAAGAATTCCACCGACACTTGATTAGTTTTGCACAATTGCGATATGGAAATTAAATTATTATGCAACTGTGGAACACGTAGGACATTTTGAAGAGTAAGCACGGAAGAAGGAGTAAGAATGGATGACTGACCAATGTGAGAGATGTTTAAAGAATTACCGTCGCCTAGTCATATCCCATCAGGCCCATTATACTCGGTGAAAGTGTGCAGAGGAGTCATATCCGGTGTGGCATGGTGAGACGCCCCGCTGTCAAACATCCACGGCGTAGTCGATCCCACAATAGAATTAGCTGCAGGTGACTGAGACTGAGGAAATGTAGGAGCCTGCGCGGGAAACACATTATGGGCCTTTAAAAACTGGGCTAACTTACGGCAAACACGAGTCTCATGGCCAGCAATGTGACAGAATTGACACACAACACCAGGTCGAGTGTTGCTGTTGTGCGACCAATTCGGTCGATTATTGCCATACTTGTTGTTGGTGTTGTTGTGGGACCTCCGATCGGCAGTGGAGTGCTGACTATTTCGGGAAGCCGAATGACCACGCTGGGAGGCATTAGCAGTTGCCAAAAGAGATTGGCGAGCATCATCGACTTCAGCCAACTGACGTTCATGATCCGTGAGTGCATCGACTAATTCTCCCAAAGAAATGGGTTTGTCACGAATACGAACGGCAGACACGATGGAGCTGTACTCATCCCCTAGTTGTGTTAAAATATACACAACCATGTCTTCATTAGAAATAGGGCATTGAGCCAGGGCGAGATCGTCAGCTATCGACCGCATGTCATTCAAAAATGCGGTGACTGACCGATTAACCTTCGGATTTCTGGTAAGCTTGGCCTTGAGGGAAAGGATCCGTCCTCGGGAGGCGCTAGCATAGTTAGCAACGAGCCGTTGCCAGGCATCACAAGCAGTGGATGCAAAAGCTATAAGAGGTTGTATGGTGTCTGAACAGCTCCCAAGTAAAGCACTGGTAATTATCTGATCTTGGTGATACCAAGTCAAATGTGCTGGATTCGGAGTTGTTTGTTCAGTATCATTGAATTTTGCTGGTTCTTTGACAGAACCATCGATGTATCCGAGGAGATTAAAGCCAATCAAGGTGGACTGAACTTGGCGTCTCCAGACAGGAAAGTTGAGGGGGGTGAGTTTGATAGGAAAATTAGACGGAGCATTGAGGTGAACAATATCAGTGGTGGTGGTAGCCAT